CATATCACCCAGTGCTCATCCCGTCAAGTGCCCCCCTCAGTGCCCGTCACCCAGTCACCCCCACCCCCTGCCCTCCTCCCCTTCCACCACCCCTTGTTCGTTTCCCAGCGTTAGGAGTCTCTCATGTACTATCACCCTTTCTGATATTTCCCACCCATTGTCTCTCCTTTCCCCTTTATTCCCTTTCACTATTTTTTATATTCCCCAAATGAATGAGACCATATAATGTTTGTCCTTCTCTGACTGACTTATTTCGAGAGTGTCCTTAATACAAAGCAGCACTTGGGGGATCCCTGGGTGGCACAGCGGTTTGGCGCCTGCCTTTGGCTCAGGGAGCGATCCTGGAGACCCGGGATCGAATCCCACGTCGGGCTCCCGGTGCATGGAGCCTGCTTCTCCCTCTGCCTGTGTCTCTGCCTCTCTCTCTCTCTCTCTCTCTCTCTCTGTGTGTGTGTGTGTGTGACTATCATAAAATAAATAAAAATTAAAAAAAAAACAAAGCAGCACTTGGTCCTGCAGGAGAGGAAGCCACGGACTCCCTGGCTTAGCCTCTGATGGTGACCACTGGGGCTTTTCATCCAAGCTGACTTTATTTATTCAGAAGCAGAACTCATAGTCAAGGTTCTGAGGGCCCCATGCTGTTCACATGTCCCCTGTCTTAAATTTTCTTTTATTTCTTTGACTGTTTCTCTCTCTCCCTTGCCAGTTTTCTGAGTGAATCTGTGTTTCTCGTGGCCCCCCTCTCTTTCCCCACACATGCACCAGCACACACACACACACACACACACACACACAGACGCACACTCTGGAGGGTCTTGGCTCACATCCCTGTCGGAAAGTGGCTTTTGAGAAAATCAGAGAACACCATTCAAGTCATGATCTAGAGAATTCCCGGGGCGGGCAGATATCATGAATCATCACCCAGAAATGGGCTACTTGTTCAGAACATCACCGAGAAGGATTCTGGTCGGAGGGGGGGGCACATCTGGATTTTGTGGTCAGGGGGGAAGAATGCAGGGATGTATCAGGAAGGTGCAAGATAGTCAGGGGATGGAGGAGTACGAGTATTACCATATCGGCTTTACACACAAATGGTTTCTTGGAGGGCTAACAGTGAAATGCTATTAGCTGTTCACATCTTGGCATGAATTAAATTATTGGATTAGCTGCCCATCTCGGGTCTTCTAGGGAATGCAATCACAGGATTGGTGCAATTTCTTTGGGGTTTATTCTTCCTTTTTTTTTTAAGTTGAGGTGAAATTCACATAACATACAATTGGCCATTCTAACCATTTTAAGGTATGTAATTCAATGGCTTTTTGTATACTCACAAGGTTGTGCAACTGTCACTACTCTCTAACTCCAGAATTTTTCCATCACCCCCAAAAGAAAACCCCGGTACCCATTAAACATTCACTCTTAATTCTCCCCCTCAGCTCCTGGGAACCGCTAATCTGCTTTCCGTATCTATGGATTTACCTCTTCTAGATATCTCCTATAAATGGAATCCTCCAATATTTGTCTTTTAGCACCTGGCTCCCCTCACTTAGCTTAATGGTTTTCAGGCTCATCCATGTTGTAGTAGGCAGTACCTCATTCTTTTTTACGGTCAAATAATATTCCACTGTATGGATATAACATGTTTTGTTTATTCACGCCTCAGTTGAGGGATGTGTGGGTCGCTTCCACCTATTGGCTCTTGTGAAGAGTGCTGCTGTGAATGTTCAAGTTTTTGCCTGAACACTCATTTTTCTTTCTTTCTTTCTTTCTTTCTTTCTTTCTTTCTTTCTTTCTTTCTTTCTTTCTTTCAAGATGTTATTTATTTATTCAGGAGAGACATGGAGAGGGCGGCAGAGACTCAGGCAGAGGGAGAAGCAGGCTTCCTGCAGGGAGCCCAATGCGGAATGCGGGACTTGATCCCAGACCCTGGGATCATGACCTGAGCCGAAGGCAGACACTCAACCACTGAGCTGCCTAGGCGTCCCTGAACGCTCATTTTTCAAGTCTCTTGGGCAAAGTAGGTGAGTTCCTAGCCGCCACCCCCTATCCCCCCACCCACCTTTGGTGATGATGGATCCATTTGAAACTGTCTGGGAGGTGAGTTTCGCTAAGAAGAGAAGTGCAGGAGTTTGGGTGCTGCCTGGATGAGGGATGAGGCCTTGGAGGGAAAGGCTGCAGAACACCGAGGGCATTCTGTGGAATCCTAAGGGCAAAGCGTCTCTGGAAAGGAGGACAAGAGAGGGAGGAGGTGGTGCCAAATGGGATGCCAATAACCTTGGGCTTTGGTGGATAGAGAAAACATGGGGTTTGTTCAGCATTTATAAAATGCTGATATTTTTCTGTGGGTTGTTTTTTGTTTGTTTGTTTTATAAGGAAAGGAAAAACCTCTGGTGGGGATGAGTCAGCAGAAAAGTGAAATTGTTGTGGCTTTGGATGTGTCTTAACGGGGTGTTGTTAATGGATGTGTTTCTGGCAGAAAGAAAGAAAGCTTTTTTGGCTGCATGTTCATGCGAGAGGACAAATTCGGTTGAGCAAATTTTAGCACAACACACCGACAAAAGGGATCCTCTTGTTACAATAACGTTGCCATGCATGTCTGTGGTGATGGGCTTCTTCTAAAGCATCTTCCTCTGTGTAAGATCGTGAGGATGCCTGACTCAGGTGGAGCAGGCACTATTTGCCACACTTGGAGAAATAGGACATCAAGGCACACGGCACAACACCTGCTGATAGTAGGCACCGATCAGGATTTGTTTGATAATAAGTGAAGCAGTCATACCACGTCAAAGAATAGGAGAGCTGGGAGGCCCTCTTCCCCACAACCCAGTTTGGGTGGAGGGACGATGGGGCAGAGTGAGAAAGTCCTGGGCTTGCATGCAGGGTCAACTGGTTAATGAGTGAAGGACCCAATTAATAGGTTGTCCTTTCTTCCCTTACCAAGTGTCATCATAACATGCACTATGTTGCGTTGTGGTGGTTTGTGCTCTGACCTGTCCTCGCTAGTGGGCCACGGGCTCTTGGAGGTGGAGCTTGTGTCAGATTTATCTCTGTGTCCCCAAGATAAAGCACAATGTTGAAACTTGTTGACCAGAGGGTCTTCCTGGGTCTCTGCTCTTTCTCGTGTTGCCACAGAATTTAGTGGTGGAGCTGGGACTCAGGCATAGTTTCTAGGGTGGCCCCAGAGATCTTTGGTCTGTACCACTCATCATGGTAGGTGACACTAGATGTATGGAGCAGGTTGCCGTTGGCCTTGCCAGGCCCGCTGGGATAATCCCCACTGTGTTGTTATTATGGAAATCTCTAGAAGCTGAAGGAAAGAGGGAGCCTTCCTGAGTTCAAAGCCTCATGTCAGTCTGGCCACTTTCTGTGGGATCTCAAGGATATCCTGAACACCAGGATGTCCTTTGGTATGTTGTCCAGCTCTCAAGTAGAGCTCGTCTGGAACCAGTGTCTGTGGAAAACTGTGTCCTTCGGCATGGGACCTGATAATGATGGGGGTGGAAAGAGGTGATGGGATTTTCAAGCGGTTCTGAAACAATTCCTTGTGTATCTTGTTTTGCTCTTCCTGCGGACTTCTATTTGTTGCTGAGCACATATTTGAGGCAAAGCAGAAAAGGTCTCATATTGGTTCTTCCTGTGCTGCGGCCAGCCTGCAAATGGCCTGTGGCAGGTACCGAGGCCAGTGTGCAGAGGGTCCTTCTGCAGATGCACAAAGAGAGGTGACAGAGGGATCACACCTAGGGTGTGGACCATGGCGAGGGCTTTGTTATCTGCCCTGTGTTGTTGGACACTGCCAAGTGTTGAGCAGCCCCCACTGGGGTTCTTTCCACCTGGGCCTCCACTTCGGGTCTCCTGCACCAACTCCAAGACCCGTATGTTGGATCCTGCCACCACCTCCCCGGCCTGGGCCCAGCGTGACTTCCCCTGGCTCATTCTCTCCCACGCCATGGCCATGACATTCATAGAGGGCAGAGTGCAAAGTCTTCCCACTGGAAGGCTCAGTGTCAGATGGCAGCCCTGTTACCGGCAGCTCAATTCCTCCTGATGGCAAAGCAGTTTCCACATCACCTGAGAGCAAAGCCAGATGGCCCTGTGACATGGATGAGATATCTTTGCTCTGTGCCCCTCATCTTGCAGAGGCCCAGGGAAGGTCTGGGCGCTCAGAAGTCCATGTGCAGGGGGCTTGTGGCCTGGGGAGTGCAAGAAGCAGCCTCAGCACCCCCCACCTACCCAGAGGGCCAGTTCAAGCCCTCCAACCCTGTCACGGCAGGGAGGCTGGGGTGAGCCTCTCCTTCCCACTTTTGCTGCAGATGAGTCACTCCCCAGTCCTCTGAGGGGGCGTCTTCAGCAGAAGGGGCCCAGCGGGGGTGTGTGTGTGGAGGTAGGTGGTTGTGCTGGTCTGGAGGAAGAAGCCGGGGTAGTGGGGATGAATGCAGGATACGATGCACCAGTGATGTGCTCAAGGCCGCCTCCTCGTGGGAGGGAGTGGGAGCCCTCAGGTGGGAAGGGGGGTGCTGTATTATCAGAGGCCGCCTCTCCCATGACTCAGGATTGGTTCTTCTCCGTGCTGGGAAACTGATGAGGGAGCTGATTTTCCAAGTGGGCTCTCTGGATGGTGACGCGGGGTGTATGTGAGAGCTTCCAAGAGAGGGCACAGTCGGGAGGTTGGCAAGGGTCCCCCGAGAAGGCCGCAGGTGAACCAAAACCCCGGCAGGGGGAGGGTTGGGAAGGGTCCTCGCATCAGTTCCTGAGAACAGAGGGAGCAGCGGGAACCTGTTTCCCAAATAGCTGCAGAGACCGATGGGTGACAAGGGGAAGGGTCCCTATCACCGAAGCCATCTAGTTACCGTCTTGTCACAAGCCACCCTGCTCCGTGACATTGTTTGGTCCCACTGCAGACAAACGGTGACTGTTTTTCCCTACTTGGAGCTGGTGAGACGAGAAGAGACACCTCCCTCCACCCTCGCCTCCTTGTCTCCGGCCCTGGGCCGCACACTCACCTGCACCAGGTCCGGTGTGAGGCGCTTGGCCTGCAGCCACTTCTGGAACCTCCCGGTTTTCCGCAGGATGCGCTCGATGCTGCAGGTCTTCGGGGCTGCCGCAGAGGCGCAGATTCTCCTGTCTGAGATGTCGCTTTGCTGTTTGCTCACCAGCCTGGAGACCTCCACAGGGCGCCAGGTTTTGGAATCATCTGAGTAATTTGCAGGGTAAGAAGGCAAGTAGTCGGGAGGCAGTTCGAGGTGGGAGGCCAGCCAGCTGTCAAACCTGGAAGAAGAACCCTTTTAGGATCTGGCTGGAGCTGGAGGGATAAAGTCTGTGTGTGTGTGGGGGGGGGGGGGTGGACAAGGAGGGACCAGCTGTACAGCCAGAGCCAGCAGAGCCCGGGGGACAAGGAGACAGGGGACAGCATCCCGTCCGTCCCATTTCTCCTCCTTAGCCTGGGGCGCTCCAGACTCTTTCGGAGAGAAGACAATTTTTGTTTCCCCAAACTCAGGGAAGTAAACCTTTGATGTCACAAAAGGTGAGGGAGATACAAGCCAGACACAAACTCGTCATGCAGCTGGCACAGCAGGGCTACCATGGCTTTCTGGGCTTCTTCTCCATGTACAGACAGCAGCTTTACACATGCTGGTACCTTAGATTCTCCTCATACCCTGTCCCCACTTTACAGATGGAGAACCTGAGGCCTATAAAGCTTAAGGACCTTGCCTAAGCTCCAACAATATGTTGCCAAGCAGAGAGGCAAACGCAGGGCCCTCTGTCAGCAGAGCCCATGATCTTTCCCCTTCTCTACCCTGGTTCTAGAAACAGCCCACCCTTGAACGGCTGGGTCTTGGAACCGTAGTTGGAGAAGAGGCTTCTGGCGGAGCTCTGCCTCTCCATACTTCACCCTACACAGCCCCATCAATTTTCCTTTCTGTCCAAAGATTTAAGACATCTGTACCAACCAAGTCACAGGGAACAGTGGCTGCTAAATGGTCACTAAATTCAAAGCCACCTGGGATCCAAGAGGTGTATAATTCCACACAACGGCCTGCTCGGTCCTTAATCCTCCCCAGGGGAGCAGCACTGGTCTATGACCACTTGCTGGTCTCCTGGGTGCCACCTTGAGCCTTTTCTCCATTCTTCTGGCTGCGTGCCAACATTTCCATTAGGGAAGAATGGGGAGTCTTCTGATTTATGTATGAAAGATTGGTAAGGTAACGTTTACTTTCCTGATGAATAAAATTCGCTTCTAAGTAAGATGTGTTCTATATTTAAGGAAGAATCTTTAACTTCTTATTGTTGGGTATTATGGGACCACCTCATGATCATGAGTTTTGGAAGAATTAGCATTTGGATTGGCCCTGAACGCTCCACTGGTTTGTTTTCTCACTTAAATGACACCACTTCACTCTAAGAGACTGCAAGCTTCTCAGAGAAGGTACTCCAGCAGAAACTGTCAATTAGCACCTTCCAGAATGCAGCAGTACTATCCAAAGTGCAGTAGAAGTAGGCCCAAAGAATTCTGTTCAAAGACATTGCCACAAATCTATTTAAAAAGATGAATCATTATAAACTAGCAGTGAGTCCATTTCAGGGCATTTTCATGGAAATGATCCTCCCTTCTGAGGGGTTAAGGAAGGGCAGAGGACCCTGAGGCAGACCTGTCTGCTTGTTTCTTATAACTGCTCTTGCTCATGGGGGTTCAACCCCCTGGAAGGCCTGTGACTGAGAATTTATAATAGGTAGCTCTCTTAGATACTGATCATAGCAACATGAGTGTATGAAACACTTAAGCACACCAGTCACTTTGCTCAAGGCTTCGTGGGTAGTATTCAGTTAAACCTGGCAGCAAACTGGTGAAGTCAGTACTATTCGTAACCATACAGATGGGGAAACTGAGGCACAGAGAAATTAAGTAATTTGTCCAAAGTCATACAACCAGAGATTGGAGGAAGTGGCATTCAAGTCTCCAGAGCTTGCAATTTCAAGCACTTTGCCATTGCCTGGTCCCCTGACATCCTTTTTATGACTTTGTTTTGGGGAATAGATAACATTATTAGGGGTTGCTAACAGGGTCTGAAATGAGAGGTGACCTGTAACGGATGCCTGGTGCACATTCAGAGGTGGCTCAAGGCATCCCATAAAAACTGACTGAGCACAAATACACAGATTTACAGGCCACTTCTCCCCCACTCAAAGTGGTAATAAATTTATGGTATTGAATGGAAAAAAATGTGTGTGCTGACAACTTTGATTACCTACTTCATCGAGCAGAAAGGTGTTGGTGAGAAAATGGACCCTGCTCTTTATTCACTAAAATGTTAAAATCCTAGAATTTGGAAAATTGCCAAACAGAGAGAGTATTCTAATATTCCTTCTGAACTGAGATCATGGGCATGTTCAAAGTGAGGCTGGCCAAGCTCCTTGTTAGTTCGAGAGATGAACAATAAGTATCATAGTTTCCAGAGGTGGAAGCAAGCAAAAAGGTCATGTGGTCCAATTGGCCACAGCCCCTCAACATGAAGGACAGAGTGGAGGCGTGGGGGGAGTGACAGTGTTGCAATGAGAATGGAACACTCTATGTTCATGCATGCTCCTCATGCTTACATCCAAACAGTCTGTAGACATGCCTTCCTAAATATTTCTCACCTCTCTTTCCTCTTCTCCATTCCTCAGCTCTGCCAAGACCCTTAAAATATCTAGCGTCTTCCCCAAAGCTCTCACTACTTAGAGCAGTTCACAGAATCCTTTCTGGGCCAATCTCCTGCTGCTCCCCTTATAATCTTGCTTTGTTCTCACCAAACCACTGATCATCCTCGGCTAAAGCCACATCATTTTGGGCCTCTGAACCTCCACTCACCTTTTCATGTGCCCATCCCTTTGTCTGAGATACTTCCTTCCACCTTCCCAGTGTAATCACTGTCTTCCCAGTAGAAAGTAAACTCCTCAAGGCTGGGACTGGGCTTCCTTCAACATGATCACTCAGTGCTTAGAAGCTTGCTTGGTGCCAAGTTAGTGCTCGATGCATTTTAGTTGGATGGATGGATAGATGGATGGATGGATGGTTATTTGGATGTATAGATGAATGGTGAGTGGAGGGATACATGGAGGGCTGGCTGGCTGGCTGCAGAGTGAAGAATGCACTGATGGACTCCTGAATGAATTGGTAAATGGATGGATGGGTGCATGTGTGGATGATTGAATGTATACGTGGATGCTTTTGCCATTAGCTCTGGGGCCCTACAGATCTTGAGGCCTCTGAATTGATTCTTAAAGCAATAGTTACTATCATCTTCTGAAATGAAAGAGACAGACAAGGGCAAGGGAGAAGAGAAGGCAAAATCAGGTCTAATGTTTTACTTATTTTACTGTGAGCCCTCTACTACTCAGAAGTATTTAAACATCCTTTAAGGGAAACTTTTACACTGTTGATGGGAATGCAAGCTGGTGCAGCCACTCTGGAAAACAGTATGGAGTTTCCTCAAAAAAGTTAAAAACAGAACTATCCTATGACTTAGCAATTGCACTACTAGGTATTTATTGAAAGGATACAAAAATAATGATTTGAAGGGGCACACGCACCCCAGTGTTTATAGCAGCAATGTCCATAATTGCCAAAATACGGGAAGAACTCAGACGTCCATCAACTGATGAATGGATAAAGAAGATGCAGTATATATATATATATATATATATATATATATATATATACACAATGGAATATTACTCAGCCATCAAAGAAAGAAATCTTGCCATGTGCAACGACGTGGATAGAACTAGACTGAATCATAGAGGGAGGCAAACCATAAGAGACCATTCCATAATAGGAATCAAACTGAGGGTTGCTGGAGGGGATGGGGTGGGGGCATGGGGTACTGGGTGGTAGACATTAAGGAGGGCATGTGATATAATGAGCACTGTTTTTTTTTTAATATTTTGTTTTTATTCATGAGAGACCCAGAGAGAGAGGTAGAGACATAGGCAGAGGAAGAAGCAGGCTCCTCAAGGGGAGCCTGATGTGGGACTCGATCCCAGGACCCCAGGACCATGACCTGAGCCAACCAGGTAGATGTTCAACCACTGAGCCACCCAGGTGCCTGGAGCACTGGGTATTATGTAAGACTGATGAATGAATCACTGACCTCTACCTCTGAAACCAGTAATACATTATATCTTAATTAATTTAATTTAAATAAATTTTTAAAAAAATAAAAATTAAGTGCCATTAAAAAAATAAACATCCTTTAAGACTTTGGGAGTGGGGGCAGCCCCGGTGGTGCAGCGGTTAGCGCTGCCTTCAGCCCGGAGTGTGATTCTGGAGACCCGGGATCGAGTCCCGCCTTGGGCTCCCTGCATGGAGCCTGCTTCTCTCTCTGCCTGTTTCTCTGCCTCTCCCTCTCTCTCTGGACTTTGGGAGTGGGAGGTGGGGATGTAAGGTCAAGTGAGTACAGTACAGAAGGTGAGGTAAAGCACCTGTCTTGGTGAGAACCCAGGTATCCCTAGGAGTGACTCTGATCAGAATAACCCCCACCTCCACCTTTCTCCCCAACCTATTACCTTCACATACACAAATACCGATCAATAAGTTCCTGGTAGATCTTGCCAGTTGGTGTGATCACTTAGGATTTCACAGTTAGGTATGTTTTTAGTAGGAAGACTATGTCAATCAGGTTTACTCTTTTTCTCTGGTTTCCCTTAACTTTTTCATTCAGGATTTGAAAGTCAACAAGGAATGCATGGGAAAACTGGTACTGAAAACACTGAAATGTTTAAAGGTTATAGGCTGGGAATGGGAAGCATCAGTTTATCATTAGCATTCTTACCAGAGAAGATAAAGGACAGAAGGAAAGACGACATTCATCTACCAATTACGTGTCTTCAGCTTCCCAGACTCCCTCTCTGCTGCCAGACAAACAAGTATTGTCCAATCCTTACTGAGGTCCTCTCCTGGAATGCTAATGTTTCCCTGGTTATAGCATTTTGGCCAAACATCTGAGAGTTTGGGCTGGGCTTTTCCCTAAGGTATCATCACAGTCATTTGTAGAAGTGAGAAAATATTTGGTGGTGAACAAGATGAACAAACTCTTAGGCAAAGGATATGAACTTGTGGACAGTTTAGCAAACAAGAAATAGAAATGGCCAATAAGCTTGAAAAAAGGCTTCAATTCAGAAGAAATACAAATTAAACATAGTAGTAATATGAAATATTTGTGAGTGTGCAAGAAGTGAGCACTATGGGTAGACATCTCCATTTGGGGGGATCCCTGGGCGGCTCAGTGGTTTAGTGCCTGCCTTCAGCCCTGGAGTCCTGGAGTCCTGGGATCGAGTCCCACGTCGGGCTCCCTGCATGGATCCTGCTTCTCCCTCTGCCTGTGTCTCTGTCTCTGTCTCTCTCTTTCTGTGTCTCTCATGAATAAATAGATAAAATCTTAAAAAAAGAAGAAGTCTCCAATTGGAGATATGTACATATATAAAATCTTCTAAAACTGTGCTACATTTTGTGACCCAGAAATTCCACTTTTGGGAGTTTGTCATAGAATTTATGATTGATGCACACAAAAATCTAGCAACAAGCATGTTCAAACATAACACTGCTTATAATACTGAAAAGAAGAAAAAACCTAGTTGTCTCACAGTAGTGGATTAGTTTTATAAATTGTGGCTGATCAATGCAATCTAATACCACAAAGCCATTAGAAATAAAATTGTGGATGTGTCATTTGCAACTGTCTTCTCCCATTTGGTGGGTTGCCTTTTTGTTTTGTTGATGGCTTCCTTCGCTGGGCAAAGACCTTTTATTTTGGTGCAGTCCCAATAGTTTAATTTTACTTTTGTTTCCCTTGCCAAAGGAGACATATGTAGAAAAATGTTTCTATGGCTGATGTCAAAGAACAGTTACTAATGTGGAAAGGTGTTCCTGACATATTGTTACATGAAAGTGTACAGGAAAGCATACACACTATGATCACATTTTTGTTGAAAAAAAATTTTAAATCCATACTTAGGAAAAAGGTGGTGAGGATATACACCAAGATGTCTTTTGGTAGAGGAATTATACATGATTTTCATTTTGTGCTTTCTCTGGTATTTCTTGAAAATTCTAAAATAAACAGGACTTTTGAAATAAGGAAACAGTTGCTGACTCTGTAAAGAACTATAAACAAGTCCAGGTTCCCAGACCCACTCACTGCCTCTCTCTGCTGCTTTGAGCTTCAGGAATGTGCGTTCTCAACAGGGAGAGCCCTAAACCCCAACCTGGCCCTCCCGGTGCTTTCCTGCTTGTATCTGCACACGTCCCTTTCAGGCGCACATGGAAAATAAATTCTGAGGGAGCTGAGGTAATATCCTGAACTTGAATGGGAACACAAACCTATTTGGGGAAATGCTTCCTGGATTTGGCCAATACCTGCCTGGTGAGAAAAACCTTCATTTATTGCCACTTGGCGAAGAGTCAAATGTAAGATCCATACACTCTTGTTTAGTTACCTCGAGGAGGATGTGAACCCAGGACTCTCCTTCTGTCGAATTCCATAATGTTCACCCTCCTTGGAAAATATGTCCATATTCTCCCTGCCTCCTTTCTCTGAGGAATCAGCCCCATTTCACCCGTGTTCTTGGTCCTCTCCACCCCATTTCTTAGGCGGGAAATCTTGCATTCACTTTCAACATTTCCATCTTTACTTTCCGTCGGGTTGAGTTGGTCAGCAAATTGACTCTCTAGCTGAACTGACTGGCATCCTTCCTGCCCTGCTTTGCTCCCACTGACCTTTCTCTTGGACTAGGAAGGATGATCTGGCCGCCCCTGCCAGCATCAACCAGTCCATCCTCCCACACTGATTTCCTTTTTAAAAAATTATTATTATTTTTAAAAAATGTTTTATTCATTCATTTGAGAAAGAATATGAGCAGAGGGAGGGGCAGAGAGAAAGAAAGAAGTAGATTCCCCACTGAGCAGGGATCCCAACGCAGGGCTTGATCTCAGGATCCTAAGATCATCTAAGATCATGACCTGAGCGGAAGGCAGATGCTTAATGGACTGAACCTCCCAGGCGCCCCTTCCTACACACTACTTTCCAGGAGATCCTTCCAAAACACAAATTTCATCTTGTCTCTACCCCGCCAAACTCCTTCACCATTGCCTGAAATAGAGGTTCCCCAGTTGGGAAGGTCTTTCAACTTTTCACCATTTGAAATACTTTAAAAAAAACGTCTAACGAGGAAAGTCCACATCAATACGATATTTACCATCTAGCAAAAGTTCCACATTTTTGACTGATACTTTCTATTCATTATATCTGTTTAGAAACTTAGTTAGATAATCAAATACGTCTTAGGTTAATACAGATTGGAAATCAATTATTGTAAATTAATGCTGTTTGCTTGGTCACCAAATCTTACATGCCTAAGATAGGTCCCTGAGGAAGGCTGAGGAGAAAAGGCCTATTACAAAGGGTCTCTGGTATCAAAGAGGCGTGGAACCACTGGCCCACAGGTGAGGGTCTCAAATCCTTGGCATGGCTTTCAAGACTCCTGCCCCATCTGCCTCTTCCAATCTCCTCCTTCTGCCATGCCTCCACATAGGCCCCATGCTCTAGCCACTAAGTGCTTTTTGCCTCTTTCCACACCCTGGGCCATTGCTTTAGCTGGTCCTTCTACCTTAAGCCCTTCTCCCAAATTTCAGGTCATTCTTTAAAGGCATTGCTCTGAATGCCTTCGCTGGTCCCCATTTGGAATTAATATTCCCCTCCATGGAGCTCCCGGAGGTCCTTTACATTTCATTTCTGGCCTGCATCAGACCAGGTCTTATTATTGTTATATAAACAAATTATCTTATTATTGTTAACATGGCTCCCTCCTCCTGAACCCCTCGAGGGCAATGGCCAGAGTTATAGCAATGTCACTAGAGCCCCTGCCAGGTCTTGGCTGTGGCAAGACTCATTGACTATGTGTTGACAGGTTTAATTCCAGACTGCGATACCATCCTTTGGTGAGATCCATGTGAATCACTATTTACCAAAGTTAGGTTTTCCTCTGATCAGAAAATTTGTTCAGAAACTTTGGAGCAAACTGCCCTGGTTTGAGTCCCATATCTGCCACTTACTAGGTGGTGACCTGGAACAAGTCACTTAATCTTGTCATGTTCACTGTCTGAGTAATGAGTGCATAACATTAACTCCAGGATGGAGATGCAGAGTGAATAAAAAGAGTAAAATGTCAGGCACTTGCTAGGCCTTCTAATTAATTTTATTTCCCTCTTTTCATGAGAAATGAGCTTGGTAACCTCAATAATCCTGGGCTACTCCATTCATAGAAAAGAACACTTTCAGCTCCCACTTCAAAAGAAAACTTTGGATTTAGCATTTAGGGCTAGAATTTGGCTTCATACCGCAACCCCCTCCCCACCCCAACCTCAACCCATCACCACTATGATTAAATGACTTTGCATCAGCTCCCACCCATTAATTACATCCCGATTCATTTTCATCAAACTCCTGGACATCCTCATGTGAAGGGAACCGGATTTTGCCCCTCCGAGTTATCTAATGGAGATTCTGACCTGATTTCTTCTTTAAAGAACTTCTTGCATATTGATGTCCCGATGCAGGCATTGCATTTATCAAGACCGAGGAAAGTCCTTCCAGAATTGTAGCTGGTTCTGATTCGGGGCACCAGAGAAGGAGAGGGAGAAGCCAGCGAGGAGAAAGAACAGCTCAGGGCTGAGACCCACAGCAGCAGGCCGGGCCGGCCTGGGCAGAGGCTGGCAGCCTTAGGCCCCAGCTGGGGCTCCATCTCTCACTCGGGATTCCAGCTGCAGCCTTCAGCTGCCCACTCAGGGCTGCGCAGAGGTAGGTCTTGGCAAAAGAGAGGGGGCCGGCTTCAGGGCGCTGACCCCATCCCAGCTTCCCCACTTTCTGTTTGAGGATGCTAAGGAGCCTGGGGCTAATGGGGCTGGGGAGGAGGTGAGGAAGTCCATGGAGGATGCTGATAACACTGTTTCCAGAGTTACTCTTCCTCTGTCTGGGGCGGCTGCCGCACGCTGGGGAAGGGCTGACTGGCAGATTTCGGGAAGGACAATGGTCAGGGCTTCCCTGCGCAGTCCTTTTGACAAACACAGGATATCCTGGCTGGGCAGGAAAGGTCCATGCAGGATGTGTGTCCGACCTGGATTCCACCTGGGAGTTTCAAAGGATCCTGAAGTCCTCCACCCTCTACTGTTTCAGCTCTGGGCACATCTGTCCTAATGGATCTCTCTCTCTCTCTCTCTCTCTCTCTCTCTCTCTCTCACACACACACACACACACACACACACCAACCTCCCCCCTCTGCAGTGGATACTTTGGCCTGCCTCTTGACTAACCATACCAGCCCCACTTTGATTCCATTTGGCTGGGAAATAACTCAAGGTTAGTTTGCTGGCTATTAGGTGGCACACTGAACACTGATTCGAAGAGCAAAACCTTTTGACTGCTTCGGGTATAGAAAAAATGTAAGTTAGTTCATATCTCAGCTCCTCTTACAGACCAGAGAAGGGAGGGGAAAGAATCTGGTGGCCTCTGACATGATGAGGGAGCACCAGAAAGATTCTTCTGCCTGCCCACAGCAGTGTCTGTCTCTACCTCCCCTGCCCGCAGTCCCTCTTTCCTTTACCACCCCGCCGCACTTCTCCATGGCCAGCCTGACCTGGTGGCATTTACTGCCACACAGTTGCCTTTATCCTGACAGCAAGATAAGAGCCACAGCACCAAGTGGAAGGGTGTGCTAATTTAGGAATAGAGAGAGCAAATGAGGACCAAGTTGGGGCAGGCAGGCTTAGGATAGGAGAGGGGTGTGTGTGTGGCCGGGGCGGGCGGTAGGAACCAGATAAGAGGGGGCCGGGATGGTCTAGGGAGAATTGGAGAATTTTGTTAAAGATTGGCAGGAAGAGTGGACTAATGACAGTTCTCTGATGGCTAAACGAGTGCTTTTAAGCTCACTGTCTGTCCTCCTCAGGGAAATGTTTGGTTGTGTTTGTTTTTGATTCTAGAGTTGCAGGAATTCCTATGTATTCTAGATACTAGTTCTGTGCTGTATATGTGGCTTGCAAATATTTTCTCCCAGGTGGTGACTTGTCTTTCATCTTCTGAACAGGGTCTTTCACAGAGTGAACATTTTTAATTTTTTTAAAAGGTTTTATTTATTTATTCATGAGAGACAGGGAGAGAGAGAGAGAGAGAGAGAGAGAGAGAGAGAGAGAGGCAGAGACACAGGCAGAGGGAGAAGCAGGCTCCATGCAGGGAGCCTGACATGGGACTCGATCCTGGGTCTCCAGGATCAGGCCCTGGGCTGAGGGCAGCACTAAACCGCTGAGCCACCCGGGCTGCCCAACATTTTTAATTTTGATGCTGCCCTGTTGTCAATTTTTCCTTTTATGAATCATGCTGTTAGTGTCAAGTATAAGAACTCTTCACCCAAACCTAGATCCCAGAGACTTTTCTCCTATAATTTCCTTTTTTTTAAAAAAAGGATTTTATTTATTTATTTATTTATTTATTTATTATTTATTTATTTACTTATTTATTTGAGAGAGAGAGAGAGCATAAGCAGGGGCAAGGGACAGAGGGAGAGGGAGAAGCAGACTCCCCACTGAGCAGGGAGCTCCACGTGGGGTTCTATCTCAGAATGCTGAGATCATGATCTGAGCCAAAGACAGACGCTCAACTGACTGAGCCACTCAGGTGCCCCGCTTCTATGATTTCTTATAAAAGTTTTATATCTTACATTTAAGCCTATGGCCCATTTTGAATCAATTTTTGTGTAAGATGTGGTTAGGTCAAGCAAGGTCATATTTTTACCAACGGATATCCAACTGCTCCAGCACCATTTATTAAAAAGACTACCCTTCTTCCATGGAATTGCTCTTGTACCTTTGTCAAAAATCAGTTATGTCTGGATTCTCAATTCCATTCTATTGACCTATGTGTTTCTCTGTCAGTATTACACAATCTTGATAATTGTAGCTATAGACTACGTCTTGAAATTGGGTAGACTGATACCTACAACTTTTTTCTTCTTTTTAAAAAATTATTCTAGCTATTTTAGTTCACTTGCCTTTCTATATAAATTTTAGAATAATCTTATCTATCTCTACAAAAAACTCTTGCTGCAATTTTGATAGGGTTGAGTTAAATCTGTATGTCAGTTTGGGGAGAATTGACATCTTTATTAAGCTGGGTCTTCAGTTGCATAAACATTTATGTCTATTTATTTGAATCTTTTATTTCTTTCATCAGCATTTTGTAGTTTTCAGCATCTAAGTCTGGTACATTATTTTAGACTTATACTTAAGTATTTTAGTTTTGAAGGAGCATTTGTAAATGGTGTTGTGTTTTAAATTTTGGTGTCTAGGTGTTCATTGCAATTATATAGAAATATAATTGAGTTTTGTATGTTGATCTTATATCCTGTGACCTTGTTGAAACTATTTATTAGTTCTAAGAGATTATTTGTAGATTCCTTGGTATTTTCTATGTAGATTATCATATCATCCTCAAATAGGGAGTTTTATTTCTTCCTTTCATCAGTATTTTGTAAATTCCAAGATTCGAGTCCTATAAATGGTATTATATTTTAATATTTGGGTTTTACATGTTTACTGCGAGTTGCTTTTTTGTTTTTCTATTTTCAATTTCATTGATTCCTGGTCTTATCTTTATTATTTCTTTCCTTCTGCTGGCTTTGGATTTATGGTGCTCTTCATTTTTTAGTTTCTTGAGACAGAATCTTAGATGATTTGACAACTTTTCTCATTTTAATGTAAGCAATTTACATTATGAATTTATCTTTTGACACTTTATTAACTGTATCCCACAAAATTTGATACGGATACGTTGTATTTTTATTTGCATTCAGTTCGATGTACTTTAAAAATTTTCCTTGAGGCTTCTTCTCTGATACATGAATTATTTCAATGTGTGTTGCTTAGTTTCTAAGTGTTTCGATGTTTTTCTTTCTGATATTGACTTTTAGTTTGATTCCACTGCAGTCTGAAAACACATTCCATATGGTTTTAGTATTTTTTTAAGATTTTTTTATGTACACAAGTAGGGGGAGGGGCACGAGAAGAGGGAGAATGACAAGCAGACTCCCCTGCTGAGCAGGGGGCCCAACTCGGAGCTCGATCCCAGGACCCAGAGATCATGACCTCAGTAGAAGTCAGAGGTTTAACTGACTGATCCACCCAGGTGTCCTTGGTATCAATTTTTTATTTCAAATTTGTATAGGTTTGTTTATGGTCAAGGATGTAGTCTGTCGTGGTGTATGTTTCATGAGCTCTTGCAAAGAATGTGCACTTTGCTCTTGCTGGGCAGAGTGTTCTATAAATGTTGACTGGATCTTGCTGGTTGACAGTGTTGTTGGTTCTTCTATATCTTTGCTGATTTTCTATTTAGTTGCTTATCAGTTGTGGATTGACTGTAATTGTGAATTTAAAAAAAATTTTCTTTCCATTTTATCAGTTTTTGCTTCACATATTTTATAGCCATCTTGTTTGGTGGACACATTTAAGATTACTATGTCTTTATGATGAATTGACCCTTTTATCACTATGTAATGTCCTTCTATGTCCTTGATAATTTCCTTGCCCTGAAGTCTACTTACTATGATATTAATACAGCTATTCCCACTTTCTTTTGATTAATGTTTCTATGGTATATGTTTTTCCATCCTTTACTTTCAACCTAATTCTATTGTTATATTTGAAATGTGTTTCTTGTAGACAGTATTGTTGGATTACATTTTGTTTTATTTTTAATCCATATGCCAATCCCTATCTTTTAATTGGTACATTTAGATCTATAACGTTTAATGCAAATATTGAAAAGTTAGGGCTTAAGTGTGCCATTCAATGTTACTTTTATTTGTTCTCTCTGTTTCGTTTGTCCTACCACTTGAACACTTTAGACTCCCACTTTGAGTTATCTGTAGTGTTTTTTAAATGTATCTCTTTGCATAGCTTTATTAGTAGTTCTTCCAGGTATTACATTATATATGCACCACTTATCCCAGTTTAGTAGTGTCAACAGCTTACCAGTTTAAATGAAGTGTAGAGGGGCAGCCCGGGTGGCTCAGTGGTTTAGCACTGCCTTCGGCCCAGGGCCTGATCCTAGAGACCCGGAATCGAGTCCTAAGTCGGGCTCCCTGCATGGAGCCTGCTTCTCCCTCTGCCTGTCTCTGCCCCCCCCCTCTGTGTGTCTCTCATGAATAAATAAATAAAATCTTTAAAAATAAATAAAGTATAGAAAGGTAAGTGTAGAAGTGTAGAAATCTTTACTCTTTAGTCTGTCCCACTTATATTGTCTTAAATATTCCCTCTATATACATTTAGGGCCCCACCAGACGGTGGTATAATTTTCATTTAAAAAATCAAGTGTATTTTAGACAACTCAAGAGGAAACGGTAAGCATGTTGTATTCACCCATACTGTTACTATTTCCCTGTTTCTATTGCTTTTTCTTCATTCTTGATGATATAAGATTTCTTCTTTTGTCATTTCCTTTTTAAAAAAAGATTTTATTTATTTATTTATTCATGAGAGGCCCAGAGAGAGACAGAGACATAGGCAGAAAGAGAAGCAGGCTCCCTGTGAGGAGCCTGACGTGGGACTCAATCCTAGAACCCTGAGATCATGACCTGAGCTGAAGGCAGATGCTCAACCACTGAGCCTCCCAGGTGCCCCCATCTTTTGTCATTTCCTTTCTGCTTAGAGCATTTCCTTCAGTTATTCTTTTAGGGTGAGTCTGCTAGTGACAAATTCTCTTAGTTTTCCTTCATCTGAAAATGTTTTATTTGCCCTTTGTTCTTGCAGGATATTTTCTGTAGATATATAATTCTGAGATGACAATTCTTTTTCTTTTAGCACTTTGAAAATGTTCCATTTCCTTTTGCTTCATATCATTTCTAATAGATCCATTTTGACTCATTATTTTTTGCCTATAGGTTAGTCTCTGGCTGCTTTCAGTATTT